TCGTCGAGTCGGCCGTCGTCGAGTTGGACTCGACAGTGGCCTCACGGCCTTCGTCGAGTCGAACTCGACAGTGGCCGGAGGCCGTCGTCGAGTCGCACTCGACATATAGTCGTCGTCGAGTTGAACTCGACGGTCGGCCAACGCCATGGCCTCTGGCCATTGTCGAGTCCGACTCGATGATGACCGCAGGCCGTCGTCGAGTTGGACTCGACGTTGGCCAGACGGCCGTCGTCGAGTTGCACTCGACAGTGGCCTCACGGCCTTCATCGAGTCGAACTCGACAGTGGCCGGAGGCCGTCGTCGACTCGGCCGTCGTCAAGTTGGACTCGACAGTGGCCTCACGGCCTTCGTCGAGTCGAACTCGACAATGGCCGGAGGTCGTCGTCAAGTCGAACTCGACATATGGCCGTCGTCGAGTCGAACTCGACGGTTGGCCTCCGATGTGCGAGTGGGAGCTCCGTTGTGTTCTGCGCGAGCCCTCGATGTGCGAGTGAGCGCTCCGCCGGGTTCGGACGATGCGCGCGAACCTCCGCAGCGCTCTGTCGTTCTCGACAAACTTCCAAAAATGGAAAATGGTGGGCCCACACCACTATTTATACTTTCTGTGGAGGGCAGAATGGACGCTCGGCACAGCCGTCCGATCGCGAGATCTTGACGGTTGGGGTGTCCGACAGTGCGGCCTGCGGGGTGTGGATTCGGATCTCGGTGCCGCGGGAGCGACGTTTCGAGTCCCGGGAACGTCTAGGCCGTCGATCCGTCGGCTGAGGGTCAGGATCGGGTACGGGGAAAACTGGTGCCGCGGGGAGAATCGGTGTCAAGGGGGCGACGATTCGACTGCCGGTGCCTTCCGCGACTATTTAAACGGGCTCCGCAAGTGGATCCAAGGGTTTCCCTTGCATCGCTCCGCGAGAAAAGTACCGGTGCACGGCTGCGTTGCTCCGCCACAGCAGCTGCGTTGCTGCTCCGATTCGTGCCTCCTTTGACCCAGATGAGTTCAGAATCCAC